GGGGGGGGGGGGGGGGGGGGGTAAGTAACCTTGTAAGGATATGAGGAAGCCATTTGAGAAGTTTCTGGACATCTTGTACATTAAGTTTGGCCTAATTTGTTCAACACATCCTCTAGATCAAAACGGTAGCAGAGTGGGTGATAAGTTGGGGAAAAATATGATATTGATATATCTCTCCTTTCTTTCAGCCAAAGTGTTTTTACACATCCAGAAAAATGTGAATACTAACTGATAGACAACTAAAAACTAGTTAGTATCATAACTACTTTTGAAAGGTGTTTTCTTTCCAGAGCAAAAACATTTTACTTTACCAGCATAGCCAAGGTGCGATGTCAAGTATTTTCCTTCAATCATAGTTGACAAATTAAACCAACATGCTTGCATGATTAGAAGTATTTAATGCACGCAGTCCTACTCCCACCAGAGCATTCAAACCTACATGCCAATGTATTATATTTATTCATTTTCAACTGAGTGAGTTTTCATGTTATGCATCATTATGTTACAGGAAACCAGTGTAGAATTCGAAGCCAGCATAGTAGCTCAATGTGATGCCTTGATAGAAGCGATGAAGAGACGCAAGCAGCAGCTCTTAGCTCAAATAGCCCATGACAAAGAGTACAAGGTGCACACGTTGAAGGATCAGGTGTCCCATTGCACGGCGGTGTTACAGAGAACCACCGGACTGCTGCAGTTCAGTATAGAGGTTCTGAAAGAAAGTGATGCAATCTCATTTTTGCAGGTAAATCTTTTAAAAATCCAGACAAAACATCCCAACTCTCTACTTACATGTTTATTGTGGTTTAATCTCTGTTTCATCTTTGGTAAGGTTTTGAGGTGTGTTTATCCAGATGAAAGGTGGTTATTGACACATAACAGAGTGCAGTGAAACATGAAATGATGAATTTTTGGCAAAAATCTTGATGTACATTCAGAATTTTGATGCAGGTATCCCCATTTACCCCTCCAACCCTCCACCCCTTCCCCAAAAGAAAAGAAATGAAAGAATGTAAGAAAAGTATATTCCACTCCAGCATGTCCTTCTTTACCTCATAAGACTACTGTATTAGGACTCATTCCCAATAAAACTGTCGTTATAAGTAGATCAATCCAACTCCATGGGGACTCTTACTGAATGCAACCAGATTAACATGCCCCCTCTTGTTAATCTGATTGGGTTCAGTGTAAGTTTCAGTAGGGTTGGATTGATCTACATAGAGCCCTTAGAAAGTCAGTCAAAAGTTTTCCCTAGAATCAGTTTTTATCGGTCAATGTTGTGACCCATGGTCAGCATCAGGCAGTGTGTGATCCATGGTAAATTGACCACTGCTTGTAGAACTTAACACTGACCCCCATTAACCTTACACGACCAATGCACAGTTTCTCATTAAACCAAGAAAATGGATATTTATGAGAAAGGTGCTTTCTTAGTATTTTCCCAAGTTTGGCAGTTGTTATTTTTCAGTTGGAGAAAATTTTTTGAATGTTTGAAATCAAAGTTGAAAGTTATTTTGATAGCCGTTTTGGTCTTCCTAAATTTTTATTGTTCCAGTGAACAATGGAGAGTAATTGCCAATATTCATAAATCAGATAACCGTTTGTTGATGATTTCGGTTCAAGACACTTAAACCAAAGCACAAGATATCAGTCAATGTTCTGTGGGAAAGCCTAGCTGGTAATGAAAATATTGTGATAAATAATTGAAGAGATTTTTTTCTTTTCTTCTTCTTTCTGAGCTTTAAAGCTTTGTAAACACTGAGTTTTTGTTATAATGTCAAGCCTATGTTTAGAAAACATTCTGATGTTCTTAGGTAGGACGTTTAAAATGCGTAAAACTAGACAGAAGTAAATGGAAAGAATTATATTGTTTGATAGCTTTAGAATGCGAATTAGTACAAAGTTTCATTGAAACCACAGTATGATAAACCAGGAGTACAATTTCCTCTGATGTAAAGATCAATCTCACTTAAAATGTGGGCTTTTCTTTCAATCCACTGCCTCAAAGTGCATAGTCTACCTAACATATTATAGGAAGTTCATTCTAACACCTTGATAAACTGTTAGAAGTAGACTCCATTCATTTCTGAATCCAGTCGCTTTCCTTTGAAGATCGAGTCCAGAATAAATCAGTCTGGGCCTCGTATTGCAATCGGTAAATGTCAACATATTGATCACATTATGTCAGTGTATTTCAATGTGGTACAACATTACATAATTGCTTACTGCCACTAGGAAATGTCAGAGGTCTCCCTCGTTTAAACACCAATTGTTGACCCCCCTTCCTGTACAAATTATAGCTAAGGAAAAGTTAACTCTGCAGAAAAATTTAATGGGATCAGAGTCTTGAGTAAAGGTTGGAGAAAGGCAAGGGGCTCATCACGGACCTCTTAGTAGCAGCAGGAGAGTCTGCAGTAATTGCCGTGCTGTAAGTTAAAACTGCTGGACTGCTGTTTTTTACCCGTCTTTGTGGCACCACTATGGCGTGTTCAAAGTAATTTCTACCTATTTGCAGAGGTGTCGAATCTACCTGAGTGGACCATTAGACTCTGGTTTCCCTTACAGCTCTCCTAATAAGTGAGAAAATGATGAAAATGGCAACCGTGACTTCCTAAGAGTGATATGATTTTTCTCTCCAGGTTTTGAATGAAGATAATGGGAGGAAATACCTGACCTTTTTAGGAATATTTTTTATCTGGATCTCCTTCATGGATATGAAAATATTGGGTTTCCCTGTCAGTGAATGATGAAAAAATTTAATCTCTTTGGCTTGATTTTTCAAGTGACACTGGTGTTCGTTTTAGTTTTTTTTTCTCCTCAAGTTGTACTTTCTCTGTCTTATCTTAAAGTGAGCAATTTTGGAAATGTGGTGGCTGAAAAAATTGATAAAAATATCCTGCCCCTAGTTATGAAAAACATAAAAATAACTTCTGGCAAATCCGTGGAATCAAAACAACAAGTAATCTTCACTAGAACATCTTCAGAATGTTTTTGAAAAATAAAGGAATGTCATAACATGCCAGACACGCCATTGACCATACCAGACAACCTTTATCCGGCTTCAGGCATGAAAAGAATCGAGTTCAATACCTGTTGCAGATGTAAAGATTTCTGTCTCTGGCCTAGCTCATACACATCTCTTATACCTTGCCTGGAGACTTGCCACAAAATATGTTTTTGAAAAAAAGGATCATCCTTTTTGGATCACCTGCCCGGCCACTGAGCCCTATTATCTAGACAGACATGTCTGATCTTGCGATAACACAAAACACTTGTTGTTGCTATTCCAAAAAGGCTGGCAATGTGGCATCTTTTTGGAGGTTGTTTTCTGAAGATGCTCCGTGGTATTATGGTAACCTCGGGGTCACAGATGCAATGTGGTTCTTGATAGAGAGTGGCAATAAGGTCTGTGATACTTCCAGGAGATTGGTGGTGTAATTTCATGGGAATTCAGATACACAGGGCCAGATACAGCATTTCTGTGTTAAAAAAGAAAAAAAGGGTGTGGGAATTTCACCTGTACCACCTTGTATTAATCTCTTGTTTATCATTTAACTTACCTATTATGAGGAATTCAAAAAGAGGCTGTTGCATTAAAAAAATCTTTTCTCTATCCAGATTTTTTGTTTAAATAGATTTTCTTATCATATAATACAGTAGAATTAATTTTTACACTTTTGCCATTTCCTTTAGCAGTCATTTCATTGAAAAATAAAGTATAATTTTTCATGGAGACCTTTTAAAAGTATGAAAAAAATAGTTTAAATTTTTCCGTATTTTAAGTTGGACAGAATAAAGCAACCATGTGTTAACTATTATTTCAGGTTTCTGGAGGACTTATCAACAGAGTCGCCAATTCTGATTTGACGTTTTGCAAGGACATGGAGTTGCGACCACGAGTATCTCATGAGTTTGAACTAACGCTAGATGACCGCCAAATTCTTCATGCCATAGAGACCCTCAACTTTTTACAGAAGAAACGTAAGTCTTAAATCTAGTCATTTTTGGTCACCTTGACATTTATGGGGTAAAAATGTTAAAGATTTTTTCAACACTGGATATCATTTGTTTGAACTTGAGATCTCAAGTTTAGAGAAGTATAATTTACTGAAGTATTTAAAAGAGTACCTTTGAAAAGAGCTGAATTGTTTTTCATGTTACAAAGAGTGCAAACTATATGCAATTGTATGCTTACACACACGCACGCACGCACGCACACACGCACACCATATAAGTAGTTATAAATACAACCACCACCAAATTGCATTTAAAGCACTGTATTGGGATAATGGTGTAGAATTACTAATTACATGTAACTCTTTGTCAGTTATAACACACAAGTCAAGGTAACACCTACATGGTTCTGGTAATAGCTCAGTCTCTGTCAGAGATCTCTACAGTGTATTGTCACATTGACAGATGGGTTGACAGACCTGCAGTGTCAACTTGATTGTGTCCTCGGGTGATAGATGTCTGGTAACCATACAAACTGGTTCAGGAAGATTGATAGTATCAATGTGAGGAAATGTAGTGTTTTTCCATATTTAATGAGAAGGTGTACAACTTTGGGTATCAAAACGGGAGGTAATTGGGATCTGAAACATGGAGGAGTGAATAAAGTATATTGATGTAAAATTGCTAGAATGATATTTTGTTTCTTCTTTGTTGAATAATCCTGTTTGGTTATGTTAAAAATTATGGAAAGGTGAGACTGATGATGGCACATGTGTAAGTTCAGTGTGTTATTGGCAAAAAGAACAACAGTAGCTGCAGTTGATGACATAAATTGACAATATCTGGCAACTTCAGCTGAGTGTTCTTTGACATCTGCTTCTCCACGATTAAAACCTCATTGTAAAACAATGGATGATCTATTCATAGAAAAAGAGATCTGCATAATACATAATGGCAACTGCTGAGTTGCACGCGCACTCCGCTGGAGGCTTATTAAAACCTGTCACTCACGAGTTTTTGATAAAAGTGGCGATATTCATCATGCACTGCTGTGAATGAGAGGAGAAATGCTTTACTTCCATGTTTCTTCAAATCTTAGCCGCGGGGCTCTAATACAGGGTCTAGACACCCTTAATCAAATTTGCGTCCCTGGCCATTTGGGAAGAGCATCAAGGATTTACATGATCTATTTTGATTCAAATCAAAACTGTGGTTTTAACTCAGAATAGCCCTCTGTATCCAAAAGCTGGCTATTGCTATTTATAGATTTAACGCATTTTGTAAATTTGTAATGACGCCGATTACTTCAGAGTTGAAGTAATTTAAGTCTCTTAGCTAAATGTTATGAAGGCTTCTTTAGAATGGTACTGTTTTAAAACATCACAGTAGCTTGGTGGTTTTAGTAACAATATCAACATCCAATTTGTTATTGCAGCTGGATGGTCTTCCTTAACTTTGTAGTCACATTTACAATGGAGGGCTGTTCAAGTTTTAAAAAACTTCCCTTTATCTTCTGTATTTTACTGCCCCATAAATAATACTACCATATTTTTTCAATGGATGATTATGGAGAAGGGAAAGCACTTTTCTGCAAATGGTTTCAGTAAGAATGAAAATACTGTCATGTTTGTCTTAAGTGGTGACATACTACCATATGATCTAGTTTTTGCCAATAAAAGATATAATTGTTCCTTTGTACTATTGTAATCAGTGATTAAAAGGAGGCATTGTCAGTGATGCTGAAGAAAATGGTGAATTTAAAAAAAATCAGGTGGTAGTTTTATGAAATCATTAGAAGAAAGGACACCTCTTTCATTTCTTCATTTAGTTCACTTACAATTAACATGCCTTTATATTTTATGTTGTGACTGTTACAAATTATTTGTGAGCATTTTTAACAATTGCCAAGATATCCTAAACTAACTCTATTATAATTTTGTTATTATTTATCTGGTAAATCAGGCCAGACGTACCAAGAAAACAAAGATGCAAAAGAGGGTAATAATTTTTTTCCACTGTTTAGGAATGCCATTTTATTTTGCTGTGATTTTTCAAGATGTTTTCGCTTTTATTTTTAATACGATATTCCTCTACTTACTGCAAGTTGGGTGTAAGTCTTGTTATTATTACTAGGAAATCATACCTCACGTTATTGGTTTCTGGGAAATTAAAGCCATGCTGTTGCTATGATATGTTTTTCAGTTTATATTAAATCCATTTTGTTTGACATTTATGTATTTATTTTTGATGTGCCACTGAAAGCATGATGCCTGTTTGTACTTATAAATTCCTGGAACAGTTTTCCTTGATCTTTCCCATTTCCTACTAATAAAAGCTGAAATAACACCGTTTTCTTTGGGACAATTTGGGTTTTCTTTTTGTAATTGAAATGTTCAAAACTGTTGATTAACAGTTATGTTAACCTTATTTACGGCTGCTGTGAAAGTGAAGGTTTTTTTTTACATTTTCATAACATGAAAGCACAGGGATCCAGCTGTGATGTGAATTTCAGTGGCACAAACCTTACCTGTTACTTTGTTATGTGCAGCACTATTTAATCATGTGTCCTGATACTTTTCCATTTTGCCACCATTTACTATAATACTATAAAGAGCAAAACTGGTCTCGTTATTTATAAATGCATGCTATGATGTTCCTTTAGACAATTTACACTTTTTTTGATGAGCATGGATTTTGCTGTTGTATTTATCTCATGTACGTGACATTATGTGCTCCCCTGTAGCGAAATATGATGTTGCTAGTAGGAGCTTTGCGAGCATGATGGTCAATAACGGTATACTTTCTTTTCGTTTCCAAGTTTCCAGTGAAGTCAAAAATTGGCATTTATACATGTATAGCTGTTGTATTTATGGATATCTGTACATAATGTGAGATAAACTCAGCCCCTCCAGGTTTCCATTAAAATGATTTCAGCAAAGTTGCATATTTTCAAAGAATTTTCTTGGTTGCATGCACTGTTTAATGTGTTGTTTCCTCTGCTGAGATATTGATATAGACTGTGTAATCGGGCATGGTTTTAATTGGTTGCCAGTTTTTTTACTACGATTACAACTTCAGCTTTGAACATGCAATTGTAACTGGCTTTTGTACAGTGAGGACACATGGTATTTTGATAATAAAATTTGTATGAATTTAACTTAAACATATGTTTATCTGTAATATTTTATTTTGAAATGCAATTGGTAACTTACAAGAAATAAATAACACATGAGGAGATACATGTAAAAAATTTTAACTTAAATATCAATCAACAAGAGCCAAAGAAAAAAATATATATATAGAACATTAGTGGCCCTTACTCATGTAACTCTATTGGTTTCTCCATGCCGTTTGACTTAGTTCAGCAGTGAGTCAAATACCCCCCCCCCCCAACATCTCAGGTGAAACCCATACAATTTATTTTCAATTTTTTTGTTAATTTTTTTTCAGCCCCTGGGCCTCCAATGATCATCCCTGAAGAATGCAGTGCTGAGAACAACAGCGTCACTATTGCCTGGCAACCATTCCCAGGGAGCGTCATTGATGCCTATATACTGGAGTTGGATGACGCCAACGCAGGGGCATTTAGGGTGAGCTAAATGTTTGTTAATTGTTCTTTTTTTTCTGTCAGAGTTTAGTTTACAAACCTGCTGCAAAATATAATTGATGGACTATATCAGAATGGTAACTGTATGAGGTCATTTTATATGTCTGTTAATTTTCCATTTGACAGTAACCCTGCCCTCCTTCTCTCCAAAAAAGAGGGTGGGGTTGTCTCTTAACTTTGTTTGAAACCTTGGTTATAAGCTTATGCACAACTGTGTACTTCTCCTACTGTATTTCCCCCTTAAAATGTTGCTTAGAATGTTGCGAAATGTCAGTTAGTTAGTGTATATGTGGGTTCTTCTCACTGTATGAACTGGGAGAGGCTGTTTGGGTCTCAAGTACCAGGGCCCATTTGTCAATGATGGGAAGTCAAAACAGTCAATGAAATTAACCAAAATCTTGCAGCTGCCTTACTAAGTAGATGGAGTTATTCCAGAAATAACCGCACATTCCTCACTGCTAATTGTGTCTGATCTGTGATAAGTGAGTGTGTTGATATGGCACATATTTAGGCAAGTTGGAGGGGAATTTTATACCCACAAAAATGTTGGCATGCAAAAACATGTGCTAATTGAAAATGAAAAATAATAACCAGAAGGAAAAAGAACCCTGTCTTGGTGACAGTGGTTGCTGTCTTTGAGTTACCTATTCATAGTTTGATTTAGATGCATGCTTTCACACACGCATGTACGCACACACACACTAGAGGATAATTGTTCTTTGTATCACAGACATGAGCTTTTTCTGCGGGAATACGAAATTACGTGTTTTTGAATTCAATGTTGTGTCTGCCCCGGATCCCCAGCCAGTTATGTGTTGGGTCCCATTATGAATGTTCAGAGGTTTTTGTTTTGAAACCTAGGCTCATGTCTGGTATCACAAAATGTTAAGTTATTATCATCTACACACACGCATGCATGCATGCGTGCACGTACACACACAACAATCTAATTAATTAGTTTTTTTGCATCACAAAATGGCACATGTATTATGGCACATGATGCAGGACCCTATATATCTGATCAGGTCTTTTATTTATGACCTAAGACTGTTATTTTGATATTAATGGATGTTCATAGTGCCATAAAACATGCTCTTGCTCCTTTGTAAATGGATAGCAATCACCTCTAGTTAAAGCATCATTAATCACACTTCCATTTAGAGCTTTTATCTCTGAGAAGAGACAGCAGGTGAACCAATAACACCATGTTTTTTAATCATGCAACATCGTTTGCTGTATTCTGTGATCTTCACAGGTGTGTAAAATGCCCAGGGTTGCTGATATTGTAGTTCTCAGAATTCATAGGTCTTTGGTTTAACATGACACTAACAATAGAATGACACATAAATAGTGGCTGTCGATACTGGAGAAATGTGTAGAATAAGCATGAATGTGCAGATATGGCGAGCCTGAACACCTGTGGAACAGCATAAAGGTTTTTCTTGTGTAATAAAGAAACAAAATGTTTTAACTGACCTACATCCAGTGAAGATGTATCACTGTATCATGTACAAGTAGCCATATATCAGCCATTATACAGCAATGAACCAAATGAACTAAATCAAGAATCTATTCTTGACTATATCTGTGTACCTGTAAGCTGCCTTAATATCCTAACATTACCATCTAACTGAAAATTATGGCCCATGTATAAAATGTACAGATGATACTTTGCATTTTAATCTCTCTCTCTCTCTCTCTCTCTCTCTCTCTCTCTCTCTCTCATATTTCATATTGTATATTTGTTATATATATGTTTCAGGAGGTATACTGTGGCCCTGAGACAATCTGCACAGTAGATGGCCTGCATTTTGATAGCATGTATAACGCCCGTGTGAAGGCGTTCAATCATGCAGGAGAAAGTGCCTACAGCGAGTGCATCTGCCTGCAGACGGCTGAAGGTGAGAGAGATCAGTGGGATGTGCCAGATACAACTGTTGATTCATCATCATTGTGCCATTTTTGTGCCAAGTATTTTAGGTTTGGCTGAACCCAGGTTGTTGCCCTGTTTACTGTGATTTACTAGGGAATTTTTGGGTTTTTCATCCTTTTTTGGTCAATGGACCTTGCGCATGATATGTACAGTTGAAAGGGAAAAGTGGAGCTTTTAGAATAATTATTTTTTCTTTGTCCATTATAGTTTGATAGAATAATTATTTTTTATTTATTGCCCATTAATGTTTGATTGTATCTCTGCTAATTTTTTTATGTAATAGGCTTTGATTGCAATTAAGCATGTTTTGTAAGTTAGTAGAAAGGAGACCAGAATATGTGGTAAGACATCAGTTTATTGCTCTTTTTATCTTTTACAAAGAAATCATGCTGATTGACTGTAATGATCACGATGGGAGATAAAAAAGGGTGTCCGCCTGTCTGAGAGCCAATGTAGAAACATAATCTACACATCATCCACATTTCTATAATTTAAAAGTTAAAAAGCATGCTGCCTTTTGAAAGCTGATATCTGGAATAGCTTTGCTGTGATAATCAATTAAAACATGAAAGATTCAAGAGGAAGCACAGACTGATAGAAAAAACCACAATTATCAAAAGACCAGACAAAAATGTGACTGGTTCAAAGAAGATTCCAATTTCTAGTCAGTGCCATAATTCTCAAACTTTTAAGAATCATGAAAGAAACGTCTAAAGAATCTTTGGCCTCCAGAGACCAAATACAAATTCAGTGGACCATTGAACAATTTTCCAGTCACTTGAACAGTGCTGAAATTGGACTCTTTGGAGTTTTTTTTAACAGTCTGGTGCCTGCAACTGATATATTCTTGAAAGGCAGCTTGTAAAGAGAAAATGGGGTGTTTATGAAGTTGTTAAAAAGTCGGCTAGTACATTAAGAGGAGAGACCAAGTGGTGGCTGGTGATAGAAAGCTCTGAGTGACATGAGCAGTGGGAGCAAATCTTCATTCATACAATATGTCAACATGTCCGGTATAAAAAAAAAAAAAAAAATTCGTGGATGCTTTTGCACTCACTGGGTAAGGTTGTTGGAATTGATAGGTTTCAGTTTATCCCAAAGGATGGATTTTTTTCTTTTTTTGTTTTGCTTTTGTAGCATCTTGAAAGGAAATTACTTCACCCAAAAGGCCAGGCAATTGAGAGCCCCCAGCGTCTAAAACGACTCGTTACAAATTTGATCTCATGTAAACTAATTTGCTGAAATTAACTGTTACAACAAACACAATAACTGCTTTTCATATAACTGCTGGGGGTACAGAGGAAATGACTCTCTGAAGAAAAACACTGTTTATTTGTCTAATAAGGTCTGAAAATTCTTTCTTTGGAATGGATATATATTTGTCCTGACATAGACTTGTTTTCTTTGTCTTAAGTTGACTGCACTTTTGGACTTTGTTTGTTTTATGTCTGCCCACCCAGTATCAATATACAGTTGTGAACATACCTAGCCTCTTAGTGCTAGCTTCCAAATACATACACACATTTAGTGCTGTGCATCTGATTGCAGACAGACCCCATGTTGGTGAAAATGTATCCATCTTAGGTCACAGAATATTTTCTTTTATGTTCTATGGCACAGATTTTAAAGACTGAATCGAAAACCAAAAGGGACATGACAAATTAATGAATAAAAGTTAACACTTTTCATGTTCCGACTTTGCAATGTAGTAATTCATTCATTTCATTATTTTTTCCCTTGCACTCATTCACCTTCCATGCAGCAAAAAAATATATATTGATAATAGTAAATTTTATTGATATATTTAATGTAATTGACATTCTTGTTTAGATTATTTTACACTTGATACCAAGACTGGCGCTTGGAACAATAGAATTACAATTTAATTACGCTCTTGTATGAGAAAGATACATTTATATCATTTTTATTATCAATTTCAGTTGCCTGGTTCTCCTTTGATGCCATCACCGCCCACCCAGATATTATTTTTTCCAATGACAACACAACGGTCACCTGTAGCAGTTATGACATGAGAGTGGTGCTAGGTGCCATAGGATTTTCTAAAGGCGTCCATTACTGGGAGATCGTAGTTGATCGCTATGATCATCAACCCGATCCTGCCTTCGGCATTGCCAGATTTGATGTCAACAAGGAGCAAATGCTAGGTAGGAGCATGTATACGGGATAGATTTCCCTGTAAAAGTATTGATTTTTGTGTCAGTTTCCAGCAACTTCAAAGCTTCAGCTTCTAATGAGAGACACAGACTTGATAAATCAAAATAAATGGAAAAGATGCTTTGTAACGAGATCAGGCAGGGAAAGGGAGGGAATCTGTGGTTTATATGCCAGAAATGTGAAATTTCAGACCAAATCTTATAAGTGTTAAGTGAATGATAGAAGTCTAATAAGATAAAATGTGTGCCATTTTGGATAATTTTTAAAAAAAAATCTTTGATTTTCAGAACTGAGGAGATCTTACATACATGCACTACAGTAACTGGTTATGAATTGAAGGTGTGACATACAATACTTTTTTTCTTTTTTTCAGGTAAAGATGACAAAGGTTGGAGTTTATATATAGACAATACACGCAGCTGGTTTATGACAAATGACACACATTTTGACAGGACGGAGGGCGGAATACGCCCTGGAAGTGTGATCGGGGTGAAACTTGACTTAAACAACCACACACTTTGTTACTATCTCAACGATGAACCTCACGGACCAATCACATTCACAGGTTTGCACGGCGTCTTTTTCCCCGCAGTGAGTCTCAATCGAAATGTCCAGTTGACTCTCCACACGGGGCTTGATATCCCAAATGACAGCGATTCTGATGGAGAGTAAATCAGTGGATCTCAGTGCGAAATTATTACTGACAGGGGAGCCTGGTGTCCTGTTTTGAGTGTCACATTGTACAGGTCATTGACCTTGCACATAGATCAGTCATTGACCTTTCACAAAGGTCAAGTCATTGACCTTGCCCAAAGATCAGGTCAACAACCTTTATTAAAAGACACAGCCAGTATTGGCTTGGTGTCTCATAACAGGAACATTGACCTGGAACTGCTTTAACCTGTATTGACTGAGTGCTCCTGTACTGGAGCCTTATGTCAACATTGATCAATGAATTATTAAGTATTATTTTTTACTGATATCATTATTTATTTCAAAATGTCTTATTGCAGTAAATGTACACAAGGGTCAAGGCAGTTTATTTTACAATCAGTGGGAAATACTTGGATGTTAAGTTTTTTTTTTTTTGATCAATAAGTACATTTAACTTGCAGAAAAAGTGTCCGAGTTTGGTTTTGAACAACTTGAATTAGTTGTTTTTATTGAGTGTGACTTCATAGCGAGTGACTTGGCATCTGTCATTTATATGCATCAATGTCAATTTCCCCCTTGCTACATGTTGCGAAGTATGGGTTTATTTTATTGCAACAGAACCACCTTTATTTTTGATCTCAAATGACTCTTTTTCAGCAGGCACTGAGAATGACATAACCTAACATGCAATTTGACCCATGAGGCTCTGACACCTAATGGCTTTTTGTTATGCCACACATCAATTTGTATAATTTTTTTCTTCACATAATTTGCCCTGGTGGCATGAGGAGAAGAACATTGAAGTTAATCTGACTGTGTAATGCTTTTAGTTCCCAGTGTAGAAATGTGTGATGCTCTCTTAACTGTTGTTTTTAGATTGGTCTAAATCCATACAGACGCTGGTGTATCAGTGCTGTAGAAATTGACAGACTATTTAGGAATTGTATTTATGTTATTGATATCTATGACAAGATGTTAGAGAATTTTAAGTTTGGGAATCTGCTGCTCTACACAATGCTTCTCATGTTTGATTACAAGCTTGATTATTATTATCATTGTTATTTTTTACACTATTTCTGTACTGGCTTACATGCAAAAATGGTCTTTATAAGCTGCTGTCTGAAGACAGTTGTTATGAATGAGATCGCGTATCAGACAGAGGCTAATCAGTATACACTGGAGAAGGTCATGACATTATGTATGAAATTAAGAACAATTGATGCAATAAAATAGTTCCTACATTCTTTATTGATGAAGGTAATTTTTTTCCTAAAAGAATTTCATAGAATTTTCTCTGGCACCCTTTAGGAATTGAGGCGGTGATTTGAAAAAAAAGGGGTGGGGGGGGCGTAGGAATGGTCATGATCAGCAGCCACAGTTCTTGCTGCAGAACATTTTTTTCAGCAACTGTTGCAAAATTTGATAAGAGCTCTTTACATACCACAGGACAACGAACAGTACTGAAACAGTTCACTGGTGCGTATTTAGCATTGCTCATAATGTTCAAGCTTATGGAAATTAAATTGGTTCAAGGAATTTAGATTATAACCATAATTTCTTGTTATAAATTGTGCCATGTGTTTTCAGTTATACCAAGGTTACTGCCTTTTAGTGAAGAGTTTGATGAATTGATTGCAGAAAGAAACATGGACATTAGTTAGACCTGGAAGGGGGGCATTATTTAATAATTCTTATTTTTATCTGGTAAACATTAAAACATTTTAAGGTTTATTTATTTTCACACAGAGGAATGCACAATTTTTTGTATTATTGTGAATCTTAGTATAGACTTGTATGACATTTGACACTGCTGGGTATTGATGTTAGGGATGGTGCTATTTAGAAGTTTAAAGGGTTGTGTGTTAAGAACATGTTTTGCAACAAAAATGTTTTGTGAAAAAAAATCCTCACTGAATCAAATAATGTTAATTAAGTATTCACTCGTATGATTTTAAGAGTCACAAATTTGTCTTATTATAATAACTTTGAACAAAGAAAGCCTACTTTCTGAAGTAGCTGAAATAGCTAGAATTTAGATTAGATCATGTACATATCTGTAAAGATCTCGTATGTATCATTTCCCAACAGTATAAGCAATCTCCTAAACCCTTTTTTTTATGAAAGACTTATCATTTCTGAACAGTATAATGTAAGTGTAAATATGGAGTGAAAATTATAAGTAAATTAATTTAACCTTGAATGATTTCAGAAGCTTAAATGCTACAATGAGTAAAGCTTCGTACATGGAGCTTATTTTTGTTACATCAGGTAGTTATAATGTACAGTAGACTTTACACAACTTGACCTTATAACTCAAATTTTTGTGTATCTCAAACAAATCTTATGGAACAAACTTTTTCTTTTGCCTCACTGTAATCTTTGCAAAACTTGAACAAATTTTCTGGTCACAAAATGTCCCAAGTTGTTTGGATTGTACTGTATTTAAAAACTGTCATTCATCAAACCATCGTGGCGGGAAGGTTGGATGGTGTTCATTGTAATTAAAAAAATCGTTTGTGAGTATGGAATGTTTCAAACTGACCTGCTGTTTCTGGACACAGCTTTTCATTTTGTCTAATTATGGTAAGGTTATCATGCACAATATGTGACCAGGAAAACACAATAGCACAGGTTGTCAACTAATTGAATCCTTTTATTAGCATGGTTAATTCATAAAAGAACCCTGCTTTTCATGTAGTTGAGTATTGAGAAATGGATTAAAAGTTGGTCATGTTTGTACGCGTTTAGTTTTCTAGGCAAGCTTTTGATCATAGTGCTATAATTGAATTTTTACGTGCAATACTGAAATGATTTTAATCTGGATAAAATGGATTTGTAAATATCTGATTTGGTTGCCATGATATTGTGCACAGTGTTTAGGACAAAATGAAATAAAATGGTTTGAGAATTAATTGCTTTGACTTATATTTCTTATAACACTTGCATAGAGCTATCCACACATTCAAAACCAAAAAGGATTTAATTGTGGAATTTGAAAACAAACATCTGCTTGTAATAAAAGAAATAAGTGCAGTGTGTGAAGACAACTCTCATTTTCCATTCCATATAACTAACTGGAAAAATAGAAATTAAATGTGAAGCAATATTTACTATATGTATACCTAGGGCTCTGTAACTAAAAAGCATCGCGTATTGCATAGAGTGATATCACATACAATGTATTATATGGGGCGAGTTATGGAATCAAGACACTTGCGCTTGGTCGCAATGTGCGATGCTTTCGAGATACGGGGCCTAGGTCATTTGTTTGACATGATCCACATTTACACTTACCACGTACTCTAGGTTATGTGGTGAATCTAGAATTCACTCTACCACGAATGTCCTTACAAATCAGTTTGTAATAAAAAACAAGACCAATATGCACCAAGGGGCTGTTCACATTTGTCATTTGTGCAGCTACTTACTATGCTGGTTGAACGTGTTCACAATGCTAAGAAGAGTTTGTGCATAACTTGTGTCAAGTTCAAAGCAAGAGGTAAATCATTAGATAAAGTTGATGGCTTTATGTTGTTATGGAGAAGATAGAATTTAGGTTTGCCATGTTTTTGCCCTCAAAATAAACTGTAATAATAAAAAAAATAACATTTTCCTGTACTGTCATTATTTTTCACATACAGTATCAGCAATAAGCCAAAAAAAAGGAGTGGGGCCTATGATAGTAAACGTCAAACTGATTGAAATCACCTTAATGGAAGCCAATTACCCAGATTTCAATTTTTTATGACAATCAGTGTGATAGCAATCAGGAAGAAAACAACACAACCTGTCAAAGGAGTGGAACCTTTTGACACTTGTCCAGCAGCTGCACTATGTTGCTGAACCAGATGGACTTAATTCAGATTGTATGCGATTTGTACCCAATTATTTTTTCCCTTAAGACAATTTATTGTATTAATTTATGTGATGGGCAGTGACATTTATATACTATCAGCAAAATTGAAAATAACCACAGATGCATTTGCTTAAAGCGTGTTATGGTTGATATGTACTGGCTATGAAAAACTGAAATGAAATGCCCGAGGGAAAGCATTATATATTTATCATTTCTTGTCCTGAGGGTCTCTGTGCTAAAAATCACTGTAAATTCTCTTTGGGGCCATATTTTAGTCACTCAGATTTTGGACACCACAAATCATTTCATATTTTCCTGACGCCAGGTTTCTCATTAGCAAAACATTAAAAAAAAAAACAAAAAACAATACAATTCTAAACCCTTAAAATGACTATTATGAGCCATATTCCTTCTCTGTATGTCAAACATCCCAATATGCCCAGTAATCCTGAATGTGTGACCAGCAGACATTGTAATCCTTATAAATCTATAGGCATCCTTGTCATATTGACTTTCAGATCGTAGCAGGTTTTAGAGAGAAATCAGTCTCAGCTTTTTGGGCAAACAATATACTAGCAAAATGTGTAAATATGTTTCAATCTCTCCCCAATCCTATTTTGACTGCTTGACTTACTGATATTGTTAAAAAGAAAAAGTGTTTTCTTAATTTCTTGTGCTTCTGCTCACAATTCAGAACAAATACTCTATTTATCTATTGTCCTGNTGCATAGAGTGATATCACATACAATGTATTATATGGGGCGAGTTATGGAATCAAGACACTTGCGCTTGGTCGCAATGTGCGATGCTTTCGAGATACGGGGCCTAGGTCATTTGTTTGACATGATCCACATTTACACTTACCACGTACTCTAGGTTATGTGGTGAATCTAGAATTCACTCTACCACGAATGTCCTTACAAATCAGTTTGTAATAAAAAACAAGACCAATATGCACCAAGGGGCTGTTCACATTTGTCATTTGTGCAGCTACTTACTATGCTGGTTGAACGTGTTCACAATGCTAAGAAGAGTTTGTGCATAACTTGTGTCAAGTTCAAAGCAAGAGGTAAATCATTAGATAAAGTTGATGGCTTTATGTTGTTATGGAGAAGATAGAATTTAGGTTTGCCATGTTTTTGCCCTCAAAATAAACTGTAATAATAAAAAAAATAACATTTTCCTGTACTGTCATTATTTTTCACATACAGTATCAGCAATAAGCCAAAAAAAAGGAGTGGGGCCTATGATAGTAAACGTCAAACTGATTGAAATCACCTTAATGGAAGCCAATTACCCAGATTTCAATTTTTTATGACAATCAGTGTGATAGCAATCAGGAAGAAAACAACACAACCTGTCAAAGGAGTGGAACCTTTTGACACTTGTCCAGCAGCTGCACTATGTTGCTGAACCAGATGGACTTAATTCAGATTGTATGCGATTTGTACCCAATTATTTTTTCCCTTAAGACAATTTATTGTATTAATTTATGTGATGGGCAGTGACATTTATATACTATCAGCAAAATTGAAAATAACCACAGATGCATTTGCTTAAAGCGTGTTATGGTTGATATGTACTGGCTATGAAAAACTGAAATGAAATGCCCGAGGGAAAGCATTATATATTTATCATTTCTTGTCCTGAGGGTCTCTGTGCTAAAAATCACTGTAAATTCTCTTTGGGGCCATATTTTAGTCACTCAGATTTTGGACACCACAAATCATTTCATATTTTCCTGACGCCAGGTTTCTCATTAGCAAAACATTAAAAAAAAAAACAAAAAACAATACAATTCTAAACCCTTAAAATGACTATTATGAGCCATATTCCTTCTCTGTATGTCAAACATCCCAATATGCCCAGTAATCCTGAATGTGTGACCAGCAGACATTGTAATCCTTATAAATCTATAGGCATCCTTGTCATATTGACTTTCAGATCGTAGCAGGTTTTAGAGAGAAATCAGTCTCAGCTTTTTGGGCAAACAATATACTAGCAAAATGTGTAAATATGTTTCAATCTCTCCCCAATCCTATTTTGACTGCTTGACTTACTGATATTGTTAAAAAGAAAAAGTGTTTTCTTAATTTCTTGTGCTTCTGCTCACAATTCAGAACAAATACTCTATTTATCTATTGTCCTGTTTAAACTGATTATCTGTCTGTACAGACATTGTGTTAAGAGTACAAGTGTGGAATGACCTATGCTTCAACAGCATCAAGAACGTTTGCATGTTTGACTTGTGCTGCAGTAGTCATGGGAACAGCACTGGAGGTGTGAATAATTGAAGTACAGGCTTTCTAAGAAATAAAGGATCATCTCCTTTGCAACAAAATGAGAATGCAAACACTCATTGACAACCAATCACTGGCTACTAATTTGCTGAAACTTAATTTATCAAATTATTGTATTAATGTTTTATCTAATTCCATTTCATACTGACTTCTTTTCACAAAGACAGATTTATTCACAGAACAGACCATCAAAAGTGATGATATTTTTCACCAATAAACATCAAATATTAAATACATACTTTGCATCTGGGATGGGAGAACAGAGAATGCTGGGAAAAGAGCCCCCCCCCCCCCCCCCTTGATAGCTACATGCAAAATATGATGACTTGTTAAACTTGTTTCTATTTTTCATGTAAAAAGGACAACTCTCTTTCCTGATGTGGTGCACTTAATGACCCCCAGGCAAAAAACATGAGTTGGTATTTCAACATTCACTGAAGCTAAAAGTCAAGAATGACTAATTGCCCAGCACTTAAAAAGCCAAAGCATGCTTTGTAAAATGTCACACCACCCACAGCAAAAAAGTAATGCCAACCTAAAAATGTAAATCAATTATGTATGTTACATATTCTTGACTCCTAGCATGTTGCACTATTTATATCATCACAATAACCCCATCAAAATGTTCATTTTCAACTATTGTATTTCAAAACTGCTTTTGTTATGACAAAATTACATACCACTAAATTGTGAAAAAAGTACAAAAGAAAACATTTATCTGTCAATTTCTCATTTGAATATGAGAAATCAATCCCCTCTGGGTGTGATATAGTCACTTATATTGTATTATATATATATTCAGGTGGATTAATAAACAGGCATCAAAATTTTTAGTTTTTCAAACACTACCCATTCTGCTTCTACAGAATTTCCGTTAATCAATGAGCCAACCCAGGGGATTTTCCAGCCAAAATGAATTTTCCTTGGGTGAAGAGCAATTTCAGATTAGCACGCCTCCTCTTGATTCCAATGTACTCGTATAATCACCAGCTTTTTTGTATTCTCCTCAAAGCCAGGAGGCAGGGTGTTAACCTCTTTATTTTACCGATTCCCGCAGGGTACGTTGGATCAATCTAAGCAGACTGATAGTTTCATTGGGAATGAACCCCTAGTTGTTTCCAATTTTGACCAGATATACAAATTTGGCCATCAAAGGTCACATCTGGTCATGTCTTACACAAATAAAATAAAAGTTAATTATAACTCATTAAATTATAACAGATAATTTTTGGGTGATAATAATCACAAGTTTGGCATGTTTTCTTTTCATCCAGCCACTATGCATCAACTGACAAACTGCAATTTCAATATTCATATTTATTATAACTTTCTTTTTAATACTATACATAAAAATGTATGTTACTAGACCCTGGCATGCTCATGTACCTTTGCTACACAAATGAAGTAATATCATTAGTGTTTTCTTAGAAGCAGTCTTTTCTTTAATATAATTGCATGGATTTTACTTGATTTCTAAATAAGAGAACAAAGAAAGTCTATCCAACCTCTTGTCCATAAGCCAAGAAAATTACCTAGCATGTTCTTTGTTTTTTACAAATACTTCTATAATATTGACCAATTCATTGATTACAGCATGGAGTTGATGATTTTTTCTGATGTAGCAGCAACTCAACTTCTGTACAACAGCAAAGCAATGTTAAGCCGATGTATTAAACATGCCTCTTGTCCCTGTGACTCAGGAGAAGTATAACCTCAACTTCTGTGCTATATAAATCATTGTTTGGCTGATAAATGA